GATTCAAGACAATGGCTGGATTTACACTTCTTGCCCTACACTTTAAAATAGTATCCTAAGTCTAAACTTTGCTTGTTTTTGCGATAATGGCGATGGACCTTTTTACTTGCAGACTTTTAAGCCACTCTCTATTCTATTAATGTTGTAATATTGGGGGTAGAAAAAAAAACGCTTTTTGCAAATGCTTACAGCTAAAGAAATACTTACAAGATTTTTGTGTGATTGGCAAGTATTTGAATTCAGTCAAAATTTACAGTGACTTTACCCCTTAAGTCTAAAGAAATCCATAAGTTTTATTATTTCCACACTTCGTTTGTAAGTCGTATTTGGAACCACTAATTACAATAATTAATTTTATTTAATTATTTTATCCTGCTTAATATTTAAATTTGAATAGCCCTGTCGTTTCGTCTATACATAATTTTCAAAGCCCAGATAACTCTTATCAGTCAGAAAACTCTACGTGCATTTTGAATCATTTGTTAGATCGTTGAACACATGCACGCAATAATGAATTAATTGTCATGTTTTTAGCACAATTGCTTTGGCCGCCAATATATAATTTGTACAGAAATTTGTATGATAATAAATAACAGATAAATATATTACTGGTATTGACACAAATTGTTATTCATTGTTTTTAAAACTTTAGACTTATATGCATTTTGCCTAGGTGAGAGTACAGTGATCGAAAAGTTTTGGCTAAGATTACTTGCAAATATCGTGTATTTTTTTAATACTACTGGAACTTCCAAACGAGTTCATTTATTATTGCTATTCTAAATCAATTCTTTTAATTGACTAATTTCCCAATTTGTCAAATATGACCTAGCATAAATCTTGTATCTACTAATTATCTCTTCAACCAGGATAATTCTCTAGTTATCCCAAATTTGTAAAATCACCAAATATTTTATTTTTGCAGTTTTGCCATCTAAGTATTTAAATGCCGCTCAATAAATATTTATTATCACGAATATCAAATTGGAATGTGGTCTTGTTGGCGTATATTATATTTATGGATTATTCATTCGTGCTCTCAACATTTCATGTCATATCGAATACTTATAAAACATGTTTGGAGAGTGCTGATTTGTAATAATTTGTCAAACATTGATATATATATATATATATATATATATATATATATATATATATTAGGGTGGTCCTTAATATGGACATTTTCGAATTTCCTTGCTCTCAAGGACTTAAACGGTTCCAAATTGATAAAAAAACAATTCTCTGAAAGTTTTAGCTCTTAATATTGTCCTTTAGATCGAGCGCAATTTAATCAAAGTTTTGTATGAAATAGCATGAAAAAAATTCAAAAATATAGCGGAGCGTCGAATTTTCAATAAAAAATGACACGAATTTTTACTTTTAATTCTATTGTCGCTAAGTTATACCTAAAATTTTTTTTTTAATTTTAAAAAATTTTTCCATGCTATTTCCATACGAAGTTTGATTGAATTGCGCACTATCTAAAAGTTGTGCACTATATATGTATATGTATATATATAACCAAAATTTTGTTATTTATTTACTTTGTCCATCACCCTGGATATCTACATCACTCAGGTGAGTGATAAATAGTTAGGTTTTTTTACAAACGAATATAGTTTTTATGAAGTTTTATATTATCCTGTACAAATAATTTGATAAAAATAATCTTTACGCTGAAAATTAAATTATATTACGTTTCTTTTATATGTTGCAAATTTATTCTGGTTTAACTCCATAAGTCTCGAATGTTATCAGGAGTGATAACAAGAAGAGGATGAACAAGCAAATTATTGGCTATAACAGGGTTTCGCCTGATACTTTTTTGTAGTATTTGCTATATATTTAAATGAGGCTAATGCTAATATTTAATAATGTGTTAATTTATCCTCTTTTATTACTATTTCAAAAGATCCGTTAACCGACACAGCTGACGATGACCTGTATCAAGACTATCAAGTACCTATAGTAAGTCTACTTGTTGGTTGCACGGAAGGCAAAAGAGGCAAAAGGTTGAGATGAGGTGAATTAAATTCCCACCGAGCTCCTCTCAGACAGGTCATAGTTTATTTCACAGCGTTTTCTGTGAATCTAACACAATACAATAGGTGATCTCTCGCAGTCAGAGTTCCTTGATCGCAAAGCCCGGAAATATACACACAAAAGTCTTTAGTTATAAATGATTTATTTAAAAAAATAATTATTATGTCATGGTTATATTTAGTTCACGTTCAAAAAATTGATAAATTACTATTTTATATATGCAAATTTTCATCACGTTCTTTCCAAATCATGCCTATAGTAAAGATATGTTGCACAAATTTTCCCAACACGTGTTGCATTTGCATTTTTGGCTGTCCATTACCAAAGACAAATTATATATTACAATTTCAATTATACAGCGTAAATTGTTATGTTTAAACTAACCCGACAATAAATTGTATTCAAAATAGTAATAAATATTTGTACGTTAACTTATTTTCGTAATATTGACATATCTGTCTTGCTAAATATATGAACAAATAAACTCTGGCGACACTATAATTATGAAATGACATTTTGAATTGACATGTTGCATTGAAATTGATAATTAAAACATTTGATATCGAATAATGTATATATATATATATATATATATATATATATATATATATACATATATATTATACGTAACATACAAGTAATTGGAACCTTACTCGCTAGATTCTAATATTTGCATTTACGTTGTGAAATTATTGTTTTTATTCCACTTTATTCTTTTTCTAGTATTGTTTTTATTATTCAGAAATTTAATTTATTAATTTTATCATTATTATTAATTGCTTTTATTTTATATTAAATCATCATACTACGGATATCATTTTAATGAAAATGCTATCCTTTATTTTAAACTCTTTTTTAAGTTCCCGTAGGGTAAGTTTTAGTAATCGCAAAAAAATCGAAAATGAAAATTTTTATATATCTTTACGTTTCAAAGGTTTCTGGACATTTTGGCATACCTTAAAAAAAATGGATGTATGTGTGTGTATGTGTGTGTGTGCGTGTGTGTGCGTGTGTGTGTGCGGATACAAATTTTTGTCGACGATTTCGGTAACCGATTTAAATAATTCAAAAAACATTCGATTCATATTGATAAGGAGACGTGCTGATTAGTTCTTGGCGAAGGCAGGTCTAGTCGTTCCGAAGATATGAGGCAAAAAGTGCCAAAAACGGTAACTCAGTTTTTAAGAGAACGGCGCGTCCGATTTTAATAATTCAAAAAACATTTTACTTGTATTGACAAGATAAAGAACTGATCAAATTTTCATGAAGGCAGGTCTAGCGGTTTCGGAGATCTAATGAAAAAAGTAAAAAAATGCCATTTAGCGGTCAAAAAAGATCATGAGATATATGCACATCAAATTATCAGATAGTTTATAGAGATTTTAACAATAAGTATAAATTTTGTTTGCATTCCTATGGGTTCCGTATCAATGATATTCGTTAGAGGCGGCGCGGCGCTTACGCGCTTCGATATTTCGTCTCTATACAGTCAAAGCAGTACGATTGCTTTGAAAAAAAGTGCAGAATTTCCAAAATATTTCAAAATAAATTTTTCTTCAAAAAGTCTTTTTTTTTCAAAAAATAAGTAAATATTTGTCAAATTTTTAGTTTCTCAAAAATCTAATTTTTTCGAAGTAATTTTTTTTCAAAAATGTTAATCGTTTTTTAAAAAAAAATAATTTTTGGTACGGGAAGTTGCTGCGATTTGCCTTAGGGCACGATGCCATGCGCCCCACTAGTTTAACATTGGTTTTCAAAGCGGAATGGAGCAACAACTTTATCATCTCAACTTTATATACATATTTTGATAAAACTAACTATTTTCTCCAACAAGTTCACCAAACGCATTAATTACCCCAAACCATATTATCACCAATTCACCTTTCACATATTAATCCGAACTAAAACCAATGTACGCACATTTAGGTGCGTAACACAGGTGCACGTGCTAATCAACGCACGTGCGAAGCTACCTGTGCTCTTATTCGGGTGCACGACGCGACACGACGAGACGCCCCTCTCGCCTCTCTCTCTCGCTCTCTCCCACTCTTTTGCGCCGGTAAACGCACCTTGGTAGAATACACCTCAGTTGCTCGGCGCAATCCGAACGGAACGGTCGGTAGATAATAGATTTAGTTACGTGTGATTTTATGTGAAAAATTTATTTAGTAGTAATAACAAACTTTGGACTATAATAGTATCATTTGGTGATAAATCAAAATTGGAAAAAATTGTTACTGTGTGAGATTTACCTGAGTTGTGGACTCTTCTGCAGTGATACCTAATTGGTAAAGTGTTTACATGGGATACCTCTTTTGCGTCATTTACCAGTGTCCTCCAGAGCATTCTTATCCTTGCACCACAAATGTGTCTCCAGTATCATTGTCACCTTACACTATTTCTATGACGTCAAACTTGTAAACACATACCTGATATGAAACACGTGTAATCAACAAGCACGTGCAAACAAAGACTTCCAGGTGTCGTGTGGACCTACGGCTAATTTTCTAACAATTTCCTAAAATTCCTATTTTTTTTTTACCACGTGCCTGTGTCGAAGTTCACGTGAACAAGAGTGCGTTTATTTATATCGTCGGATTTGTGTGTACGAGTGCGTTGTATATATAGACCAGAATAGAAGACGGTATTCTCGGCCAGGTCGCCGAAGGAAGAAACCCGAACTTATGAGATGCAGTGCAGATTCAGAACATTTAAGATTTAATTTGAATTAAATTTTAAGTGTAAAAGTGCGTGACTAAAATTTTTATTTACCCCAAAGACACCCCGACTTGTTTGGGAGCATTTGCCTGTTATTTAACAACAACGTGGTAACTAGTATAGGTAGTTTCTTGACCGCCCGAAGACTTAATAAGTTACTATTATCATTTTATAAATTGGATCTTTGTGTTTATTATAACGTGTGTGATTCTTAGTTGGATTAGTGTTTCTACATTTTTGGCAGTGACAAATTATATTTTTTAATTAATGATGTTAAGTGTTTTGTGAAAAGTGACATAAATTATTCGCAAGGAAATTTTCATGAAGTGTTCCTCATTCGTAAAATGCGTGAAATTGATACAGAGGCTCCTGTAGTTTGGCCAGCTTGGTGTTATTCAGGTAAGAGATTTTTTTATTTTATGGGACGCATTTTAGTTTTACATGTAAAAATATAAGGAAAACAAAAAATCAGTATTTTTATATACAGCAAAAAAATACCAGTCCAAGATGTTTGCCTCGGTATGTTTGGTTCATTACCACCATCGGCTAAATTTTTGTTTTTCTCTTGCCCTTTGTCTTTGCTTCCGGGAACCGCCGTTTGGCATTACTTCATGGGGGGAGGACCTAGAATACTATGATTTTCACTCCTCTACAAACTAGCTCTGCTTCTTTCCATATAACGTAAGTCTATGAGGACTTCCCTTGCATAAAAATAAAAATCAGTAAAATGTTTTGATTGCCAATATTTTTTTTAAATATATTTTAACTAGAAAATTTGAACCCAAACATTGTGGATATAAGTTTTTAGCTCACCAACATCTAAACACCCCTCCCCCCGCTCTTTCACATGTTCTAATCCGTCATGGATTTCATGCAAAAAATGATCACCTTACTATATATGCAAATAAAAAACAACAAATTCTATTTAAACAATTTTTTTTATGTTTTTTGCCGCTTGGCAGTATTTTAAGGGGGAGGATCTAGAATACTTATTTTTTCTTTTGCTCGTAATTCGCTCTGCTTCTTTCTATATAAGTCTACGAGCACTTCCCTTACGTAAAAATAAAAATCAGTAATCAAAAGCCTATATAATCAAAAACAACAAATTCTGTTTAAACATTTTTTTGGTAATAATGAATTATTCCATTTTACGGGAACTGCCGTTTGGCACTATTTTAAGGGGGGAGTATCTAGAATACTATGATTTTCTCTCTTTTCTCCTTCTAGTTAGTGCAATTCGTTCTTTCTAAGTAATGCAAGTCTATGAAGACTTCCTTTGCATAAAAATAAAAATTAGCAATTAAAAGCCTATATATGCAAATGAAAAACAATAAGTTTTTTTTAAACAAATTTGTTGGTATTAACGAGTTATACCATTTGCTAAATAATGTTTGCACTTTTGTGTATAAAAATGTTGTTTCAGGTTGAAAAGCATAGCAAAAGTTAAAAATATTGATATTGTTTAGTTTTAATTGTTAACAATGTTACAAAATTGAAATTTATGCACCAATTCACGAAGGAGCCAATATTATTTGGTAAAATATCAAAAAAATTCATATGACTTGAAATTACTTGGGGCTTACTTAAATGAAAAAAATAAAATTGATATAAAATTTATGTATTCGGCTTGACTATAACTTACCCTACACGAAGTTAATAAACGCGAAAACATTCATATTGAATTTATCAATAGTTTATTGATGTAATTATTATATTGTAGAATCAGTATTTTTAGATTTAACAATATGTTATAATATGGTTTATTTGCCTCCGAAGCACCAACCAATAGTTTTCAATTAGTCAATAGTTTTTTTATCTATTGATTGTTGCATAGTCAATGTTTATTTATGTTTCAATAAGACATGTAGGTATCATCATTTTTTGATTGTCTGGAATTGATAAAAATCTTATTACAAAAACTGACAAAATTGCCACGAATGTTATCAATTTTGAATCACAATTTTAATTAGTTTTTTAATACGTGTATTATTTCATAATCTCATAAATTTGATATGAGGTGATAATATTTTTTGTGTAAAACTTTGAAGTTCTTAAACCAAAAAGTTACATATATGTCTATGTCGTATAATAAAAAATATATATTGGAAAAATTGTATTAGTAAATGGTAAATGATTTTTGCATCGTACATCTCAAAAACACATAAGTAATATTTATTTATTGACAAACTAATAAGTTTTTTAACTACCCGCGGGGTAAGTTATAGTAATCTTGAAAAAAAAATCGATAATAAAAAATTTTATATATCTTTACGTTTCAAAGGTTTCTGAACGTTTTGGCATACCTTAAAAAATGGATGTATTTATGTGTGCGTGTGTTCGGATACAAATTTTTGTCGACGATTTCGGGAAACATTTTATTTTATTCTGTTCTTATTTGTTTTTATAAGTATTTGTTTTTACTAAATGAAGAACTGGTTAAATTTTTGAAAGGGCAGGTCTAACGATTTCTGAGGTACAATAAAAAAATAAAAAAAAGCCATTTGGCAGTCAAAAATGATCATTATACATATGGGCATCTAATTATCAGATATTTTATAAGGATTTTAATAATAATACAATTTTTGTTTACATTTCGATGGATTCCGTACCAATGTGTATCCTTTAGAGTACTACGCGTGCTTTTTTTTGAAAAAAAGTTAAAAATATTCAAAATATTTTTTATAATGTAAAAAAATCATTTTTTTTTAAAAAGTCAAATTATTTTTAAAAAAATTAAAATTCTCAAAAATCTTAATTTTTCCAGTTAAAAAAAATTGAAACTTTTTAAAAAAAAATATTTTTTGATGCGAGAAGTTCCAGCAATTTGTCTTAAGGCACGATGCCATGCATTACTAGTTATTAAATACTAAAAATAGTTCTTTTACTATGAAAACTATAATGATTATTATCTCATCTCATCTCATCTTCAGTGTCTGTATGTACTACTAAAATAGAACAGTTTGAAGCAATACATCGAATCGAGACATTTATTGAGTTCAAACCACGCGATTTTCTTGAAAATTAATTACTAAACTTGTACAAAACTAGTGGTGTATAGCATTGTGCCTTAAGACAAATTGCTGGAACTTCCCGTATCGCAATGAAATATTCGACGAATATTATGTGGGGAATCAAGCAAGCTTGGAATTCGAGACAGGAACAAAATCACTTGTAATTTTCATATCATGAAATTTTAAGATCAATAAATTGTTTATATTTTTATACAAATGGAATTTATATTTGTATATACATAACTATTTCCATAAATGATTTCCAATATATTATTTTAAATGGTGTAACTTTCATTATTTTAATTTTATATTTCATTATTCTATTTTATATAAAATTTGTATCCATACACCCACACACATCCTTTCAAAATGTAAAATATGTAAAAAAATTTAATTTCGATTTTTGGACGATTACAATGACTTACCCTATGGGTTTACAATATTGTGAATTTCACACTAATATCAAGATTTATCGTTTACCACTGCTAAAAATGATTATTTCCAATGTGTCGACAACGACAAGTACCGAGCTCGACGTTAAGAATTATGCGTTGTGTGAAACCGCCGAGGTCAAACGTGCATTCGAGGAGGTCGATCGACATCGACATGTGTGTTAGTATTTAATATTTATCGATATTTGTATTGTTAATATCGGTGACAATGTTTATATTGAACGTCCGTGCAAATTATCAATAATGGCACATGTGCATGTATGTGCACATGTGCGATTGTGTGGCGAGACGTGCGAAGCCAATTTGCGAAATGCTGAGTTGGAAAATTGTTCGATGTGGTATTAGCAATTTACTGTTAAAGTTCCAGCAACTTGCCATAAGGCGCGATACCATGCACCACGGTATCGCGCCTTATGGAAAGTTGCTGGCACTTTCTGTACCAAAAATTAACATTTTTAAAAAAGCTTTAAAATGCTTTGAAAACTTGAAGTTTTTGGAAAGAATTGAGTTTTTTCAAAAGTTCTATTTTGTTATATATTTTTTTTTAATTTTGAACTTTTAATTACAACTAGTGGTACATGGCAACGTGCACATTAGCATTTTTAAAAAAGCTTTAAAATTCATAAGAAACTTTAAAAAAATGAGATTTTTGAAAATATTGAAATTTTTGGAAAAAATTGAATTTTTTGAAATGTTAATTTTTTTTTTTTTTTGTTTTTTTTTTGAAAATTTTGAACTTTTTGTAATTAAGCTAGTTGTGCATGGCATCGCGCCTTGAGGCAAATTGCTGGAACTTTTCGTACCGAAAAATTATCTTTTTAAAAAAAATTCAAATATTTTTTTAAAACTTAGAAAAAAATAAATCTTTGAGAATTTGAAATTTTTAAAAATTATTAGACTTTTTTAAAAAATTCGTGTTTTTATGTTTTGATTTTTTTGAGAATTTTGAACTTTTTGCAAAGTAATCGAGTTGCGTGACTGTTTTATATAAGAAAAATCGAAGCGCGAAAGCGCCGAGTTTCTGTCTAACCAATAAGCATTGGTTCGGAACCCATAGAAATGTAAACAAAGTTTATACTTACCATTAAAATCTCTATGAAATATCTAGTAATTTGATGTGCATATGTCTAATGATTATTTTTGACCGCCAAATCGTATTTCTTATACTTTTTTTTGTTGGATCTCCGAAACCGCTAGACCTGCCTTTACAAAAATTTTATTATCTCTTCATTTTATCAATACAAGTATCATGTTTTTTGAATTATTGAAATCGGACGCTCCGTTATCTCAAAAACAAAATTATCATTTTTAGCACTTTTTGCTCAGTATCTTCGAAACGGCTAGACCTGCCGTTCATAGAGTCATTCAAACCGGCTGATGCGTATTCTTGAAATCGTCGACGAAAAGTTGTATCCGCACATACACACACTTACATCTTGTTTTTCTAATGTGTGCCAAAATGTTCAGAAACCTTTGAACGTAAAAATCTATGAAAATTCAGTTTCGATTTCTTTGCGATTACTATAACTTACCCTACACAAAGTTAGCGAAAAATATACTACAACTTTTTATATAATTTGCATGCTATTAACCAGTTTACTGTGATTGACGAATATACTCGTCAAGAAAGAAAATTCATCATGCGTGACTATTTGCTATTAAATATTATACATATTATTAATTTTTTTTCCCTATGATACATATAAATTTTTTAACGAAATTATTCAATAAAACGAAATATCATTTTTTGGCAGTACGACAATATAACTTTCTATATATATGTTCACTATATAACTTCCAATACATCAATATCAAATTTTACTCTAGAATTAATAATTATTAACTTCTAGGATAAGTTATTGTAATCGTCCAAAAGTCGAAATTGAAATTTTTTTACATATCATGTTTCTAATGTTTCCGAACATTTTGGCATACC